TGACCGTTTTTATGAATTTATGAGGAAAAGTCAAGGGTTAAACAAGCAAGGAGTCCTGCATTACGATGAGCTTTGCCTTTTTCTGAACGTACAGTTGCCTGAGGGATTCAAAACCCCTAAATTTAACAAGTATGATGGAACAGACAATCCCAAAACACATCTCCGGCTGTTTGCTAACAAGTTGGGAAAGCCTGTAGACGACGAGAATTTGCCTTTAAGGTTATTCCCCGAAAGTCTGGAGGGGGATGCACTCGACTGGTACTCCAACCTGAAGCCCGAAGAAGTAAAAACCTGGATTGACTTGTCCAATGCTTTTGTGAGGCAGTACGAGTATAACTGCGAGTTGGCTCCGACACGAATCACATTGGAAGGAACGAAGAGAAAACCCTCCGAGGATCACAAGACTTATGCCAAGAGGTGGAGAAAAATAGCTGCAAAAGTCGAGCCACCAATGACCGATGACGAAATTATCCGCACTTTCATTAAGGCACATGATCCGCCGTACTTTGCAGAAATTTTCCGCATGACTGGATGCTCGTTTGCCGCTATTGTCAATAAGTTTGAAGAGTTCGATGACTTTGTAAGAGTTGGAAAGATTGTTAATGTCTCTGCCCTCAAATCCCAGTTGGATGCTTTACAAGGACAAGGGAGTAGTGGGAAAAAGCCGCAATTTAAGAAGAAAGAGGGGGAAGCTGCCTTCATCTGGGATCAAAACCCTACACCAAGACCCCGATTTCAACGCCAACCAACATATTCACCTTATCCCTACTATCCAAGCCCTTACCCTGTCTACAACACCAATATTATCCATCCTAGACCTCGCCCAAATTACACCAACCCGCCTACAACCCCTTTCCAAATATCCCAACCTAGCTTTCAACAAACTCGTCCTCGACCCCCTTACCATCAAAGAGTTCCCCCACCGAACAGACCCACCTATAATTATCCCCAACCTACTGAAACCTACAATCAAAATCACACCCGAACCTTCACCAACCTTGGCAGGCCTTTGGATCAATTGTATGAACAATTAAAGGCTGCCGGTAAAATAGGCGTGATTTCCCCTCCAACTTACCCATATGGCATGCCGGCTGGGTATAATCCACAAGTTACTTGTGCTTATCATTCAGGAGCACCTGGTCACTCCACGGCCAATTGTCGACTCCTTAAACATAGAGTTCAAGACATGTTAGAAGCAGGGGAAATCGTGATTAGGAAAAGAGAAGAGCAAGGACCGAATGTGAGCAAGAACCCCTTGCCGGAGCACACTGATACTATGGGAGTTATTATGGATGATGAGGAATTTGAGGAGTTTGTCCGAAGCGTGTCAAATAAGACAGAAGTATTTGGGATAATGGACCAACCATTTGTGATAGAGGAGGCATCGTATGAGGAAGACAAAAAGCTCTTCACTTTAGACCTAACCCCATCTGAAAGTGCGGCCTTAGAACCTGTAGTAATTGAATTCCCAGAACAAGCGCCAGTTTTAAGCCTACGACAAGTGCCGTGGAATTATAGTGAGCCCGGTTTGCAAATCGGAGGAAAACCAATTTTGAAGGAAGAAGTGTATGCTCTTATGAGGTCAGGGAGGATTACCAGTCCATCCGCCGCTAGTGCCCCAGTCCAAGAAAGCAATTGTGAATCGACTACCAAACCTGCAGTGACCGAAAAAGAAGCATGGGATTTTCTCAAGAGGCTTAAGAGAAGCGAATACAATGTGATTGAGCAATTGAACAAAATGCCTGCCCAAATTTCTATCCTAGACTTGCTTTTCACCTCAGACTTGCATAGGGATGCATTACTTGAAGTGTTGACTAAGGCTCGTATTCCCAAGGATATTTCGGTTGACAATTTCTCGCACATAGTTGGGAATGTACTGACTTCCAAACAAATCACCTTTTCTGATGAAGAGCTGCCTGCGGAAGGAACTGGTCATAACAAGGCCTTGTATGTAGCTGTGAGGTGCAATGGAAGAATGTTGCCTAAGGTACTGATCGACAATGGGTCTGCCATTAATATTTGTCCTTGGAACACGTTGGTGAAATTAGGGCTGCAAGATGTCAAACTAAAACCCTCAGAGACCGTAGTTCGAGGATTTGACGGAGCCCAAAGAGAGTCCCTAGGAGAAGTAAATTTGGTGGTCGAAATGGGGCCCGCTCAATTTCAGATAGCTTGCCAAGTTATGCATTTTTCTAGTGTCTATAATGTTTTGCTTGGACGGCCGTGGATCCATAGCTCGGGCGCTGTACCCTCTTCCCTGCATCAAGTACTGAAATTTGTGGTGAACGACCAGCTGGTAACCATTTTTGCTGAAGAAAATTGCATTGTAATCGCTGATTCCGAGCCTGAGGAGGATGGTAACCGAAATGCTTCAGTGTCTTCTTATCGTACAGCTGATATTGTCTCTGTGAGTTGGATAACGAGCGAGGGGTCAAAAGACGAAAGGGTTTTGCCAGCGGCCAGTGTCATGATGGCCAAGGAAATGATTCGTGGAAGATATGAATTTGATAAGGGATTGGGACGCAATCTGCAAGGCATTCTGAAGCCCGTGGAACTCATCGAAAAGAAGGACCAATTTGGGTTGGGATTCCGTCCGACTGCCAGAGATATACAAGAGATGAAAGCGCGCAAAAGAGCAGAAAAGGAAGGCAAGTTAGGTGCGCTAGACATTCCGCCATTACGCTATACCTTTCCAAAGCCAGCTGAAGTCATTACATCTGAGTTTAGCCCAATTGACGAAGTGGAGACAAGCTTGACTCATTTGTTTGTGGGAGCAATATCCGAAAATGGCCCGTCAGATGATGCCAAATTCCCAGACATTCCCGAAGGAGCTATACACAACTGGACCGCCGAGTACTTTTCCGTGCAAAAGGAGTTTCGGTAAATCTACAAGGGGTTGTCATTTGCTAAAGTTCATGAAAACTTTTTCTTGCATATGTAAATAGTTCAATGAAAACATCTTTTGCACTTATGTTTTAGCTTGTTTCCGCTTTGATTTGAAGTTTTATGAAAGTGCATAGTTTGTTTTATCATGCCGTTCATTCATGTGTTTATTTGCTTATTGTCTTGAATTTCTTAATTCTTTCAGATGGCCAAAAATAAAATTATTTGACCCTTTGGATATCACTGTTCTGGAATCTAATGATGACAATCTCTATATCACTCACGACTTGGAAGTTATGGAACCCGAATTTCAAAGCGAGAGTGATGGTGAGGAAGTATTTGATTCCTTTTCAAAAGATCTTGAACAATATGAGGAGAAATCTAAACCGAACTTGGAAGAAACTGAAGTTGTTAACATTGGTACTGAGACTGAAGTTAAGGAGATACAAATCAGCATTCATTTGAACAAAAATCAGAAAAAAGAGATGGTTGAATTTTTGTCTATGTTTCAAGATGTGTTCGCATGGTCTTATGATGATATGACTGGCATTTCAACTGATGTAGTGGTGCACAGATTACCCACAAACCCAGCTTTTCCACCAGTAAAACAAAGGCCCCGTAAATTCAAACCAGACATGAGCCTCAAAATAAAAGAACAAATTGAAAAGCAGCTTAAGACTAATATCATCCTTGTATCCCATTACCCTGTTTGGCTCTCAAACCCAGTTCCTGTTCCAAAGAAAAATGGAGAAGTACGAGTTTGTGTTGATTATAGGGATCTCAATAAGGCTAGCCCTAAAGATGACTTTCATTTGCCAAATATCCATATCATTCTAGACAACACTGCCGGACATGAAATTGAGTCTTTTTGTGATTGTTTCGCTGGATATCATCAGATCTTAATGGCCGAAGAAGATAGGGAAAAAACTGCTTTTATCACCCCTTGGGGAACTTTTTGCTATCGAGTCATGCCGTTTGGTTTGAAGAATACCGGAGCTACTTATCAAAGGACTATGACTACATTGTTTCATGATATGATCCACCAGGAGATGGAGGTTTACGTGGATGACATTATAATCAAAACCAAGAAAGCCGAGGACCATTTAATTGATTTAAGAAAGTTGTTTGAAAGGTTGCGGAAGTACAATTTGAAACTAAATCCTGCGAAATGCTCCTTTGGAGCACCAGCTGGGAAAATGTTGGGATTCATCGTTAGCAAAAAGGGCATAGAGATAGATCCGGCAAAAATCAAGGCAATTCGAGACATGCCAGTGCCAAAAACGCAGAAAGATGTGAAAAGTTTTTTAGGGAAAATTAATTTCATTGGAAGATTCATTGCCCAATTAACCGCTACGTGCGAGCCACTATTCAAGTTGTTAAAAAAGAATGTGCCGTTGCATTGGAATGAGGAGTGCCAACAGGCTTTTGACAAGATTAAAGATTATTTGCTGCAGCCTCCGGTCCTAGTGCTACCCAAACCGGGCCGGCCTCTGATCATGTACTTATCTGTGCTCGACGGAGCAGTAGGGTGTGTTCTGGGACAACACGATGATTTCTAAAGGAAAGAGCAAGCGATCTACTATCTTAGCAAGAAATTCACCCAGTATGAGGCTCATTATTCATTTATTGAGAAAAGCTGCTGTGCATTGGTCTGGGCGGCTCAAAAGTTGAGACACTACCTGCTAAGTCATACCACTTATCTCATATCCCGGTCCGATCCTTTGAAATACCTCTTGGAGAAGCCGATGCCAACTGGGTGCCTGGCCAAATGGCAGATGATTCTTTCAGAGTTTGACATTGTTTTCACTTCGCAAAAGGCTGTCAAGGGGCAAGCTATAGCCGATCATTTGGCAGAAAATCCAAAGGACGATGAGTATCAACCACTCCATACCTATTTCCCTTATGAAAAGGTTTTATTTGTTGGTGCCGTAGAAGATATGAGCGAGCGGTGCCCCGAATGGAGGTTGTTTTTTGATGGTGCTGCTAATTCTGTCGGAGTTGGAATCGGAGCAGTTCTTGTATCTCCAGAAGGGAAGCATTACCCCGGAGCTGCTAAGTTGCAATTCGCCTGTACAAACAATATGGCCGAGTATGAAGCCTGAATTTTTTGTCTTAAAATGGCTTTGGAAATGGAAGTTAAAGAGTTGATAGCCTTCAGTGATTCAGATTTACTTGTGCACCAAACGTTGAAACAATGGATAACCAAAGATTCCAAGATCTTGCCATACCATTGTAATTTGCTCAATCTGGCTAGACAATTTCAAAGTTTGGAGTTCAGACATCTCCCACGAGCCCGAAATGCATTTGCAGATGCCTTGGCCACCTTATCTTCTATGATACAATATCCGGATGAATTAGGAATCGAGCCTATCCGGATCCAACTCCAGGACAAGCCTGCTCATTGTTGGGTCGTGGACAAAACATTTGGCAAAAGCCCTTGGTACAATGATATTAAGGAGTTCATCAAAACCGGGTCTTACCCTCCAAAAGCTACTGCAAATGACAAGGGTTTCCTGCGCAAAATGGCCTCGAAGTTTTTCTTAAGCGGAGAGGTATTATACAAAAGGACCTCAGACTTGAACCTCTTAAGGTGCATCGATGAAGATGAAGCTCAATACATGATGAAAGAGGTGCATAGCGGTGTCTGCGGATCTCACATGAATGGACATTTGTTGGCGAAGAAAATTATGAGAACCGGGTATTTTTGGCTTACAATGGAACGCGATTGCATAGATTTTGTCCGGAGGTATATTAAATGTCAAGTGCATGGCGACGTTATACGTGCTCCTCCCACCGAATTGCATAGCATGATTGCCCCATGGCCCTGCTCAATGTGGGGTATGGACGTGATCGGCACAATTGACCCTCCTGCTTCAAATGGACATCGATTTATATTAGTGGCAATTGAATACTTTACCAAATGGGTTGAAGCAGAATCATTCAAGCACGTGACAAAGAAGGTGGTGGCAAATTTCTTAAGAGATCACATCATATGCCGATTTGGGGTGCCAGAAACACTGATTACAGACAATGCCAAGAATCTCAACAATGACATGGTGGACGGGCTATGCGAACAGTTCAAAATCAGACATCGCAATTCTGCCATCTATAGACCGCAGATGAACGGAGCTGTGGAGGCCGCGAACAAGAATTTGAAAAAGATCATCCGCAAAATGATTGAAAAGCACCGTGATTGGCATGAAAAACTTCCTTATGCACTGATGGCATATCGGACTTCTATTCGAACTTCAACTGGGGCAACCCCCTATTCGCTCATGTATGGAATGGAAGCTGTGCTGCCTGCCGAAGTCGAAATCCCTTCATTGCGAGTTTTAATGGAGGCCAAGTTGGAAGAGGCTGATTGGATAAAACAGCGTTTTGAACAACTGTCCTTGATTGATGAAAAGCGGCTTAATGCTATTTGTCATGGCCAATGTTACCAAAAGCGCATGGCCCGGGCCTACAACAAGAAGGTCCATTTGCGCATATTTGAAGAAGGCGACAAAGTGTTGAAGCGGATTTTTCCAGTGCAAGATGAGGCCAAAGGCAAATTTGCTCCGAATTGGCAAGAGCCATTCATTGTTCAAAAGGTATTACCTAGCGGAGCACTCATTTTGGCCGAAATGGATGGACAAACATTTCCTCAACCTATCAACTCGGATATGTGCAAGAAATTTTTCATTTGATTATGCAAAACTTCTTTTAGAAATTCGTGCAAATGATGAAATACAAGTCAGGCCATCTTCTTTTACACTTGAAACATTCAATCCCTAGTTGTCCCTTTTGAGCTATCAGACTAATAATTTTCGTTTGGCAACCCCTGAGAATTGCAAACCCCACACTGGGGCAAGTTTATTGTGAAAAAGAGATGAAAAAGAGAAAAACCCCACACTGGGGCAAATTTAGTGAGAAAATGCAATAAAAAATGCAAAGAGAGAAAATCCAATCAAACTGGGGCAAAGTTTTCCTCAGTTTCATTCAAAAATTGGAAATCATTTTAAAATGATGCAATCTCAGGTTATTTCACCCTTTTTATTAAAAATTTTTGCTTTCAAGCCTCAACTTTCTTGAAAAACCCCACCTGACCTCATTACAAAAGCCCAAAAGTCCTGGCTTTCGTCACTTGTTGTATTTCTATTAAGAAATTCGCTAATCAACTGGCACGTGATGTCCATAATGCCTTCACCTAAACTTCTAAGGGAAGTGTATTTTACTGATGCCAGCAATCTTCAACTCACATGCTTGAGTCGATCATGGCCGAGTTTTTCCCTCATTTTTTAGGTGAAAACCCGAAAGGGCACCTCACAAAAAAAATGAAAAAAAGAAGAAAAGAAAAGAAGAAAAACAAAACAAGAAGCAAAAAGGGTGGGGGCAACCTTGGTGAAAACCCGAACGGGCGCCAAGGTAGGGTTCTGCAACGAACGAGCAGGAGGAGGAACAGCTGGTGACTTGGTTCGTTTGGGTTTCTCTTCGTTTTGTACCACTTCTTTCAATATTGAATTCCGGAACAAAGATATCCCGAGATTCGAATATGGTGTCTGTTGGCCACAACTGTTTCATTTAGATACTCTTTTGCAAATACATTCCTATGGAATTCATTTTTCCTCAAATATTTGTATTCATGACATTTTCATGGGGTTAGGCATGATTGTTTACATCCTTTTTGCATATTCATCCTTGCATGACATGTGAATTTATCATACATCATTTTTTCTAATCATTGAGTTTTAATAAATGACAATCCCCCATGGTTTGTGCAAAGCATACGTTCGGATTCAGTCCTCTTTGGAAATGGTCGTGATTCAACGGAGCCCGTTACACAGATCTCATAATATGGCTGAAGGTATTCCCGGTCGGTCTGAGAAGAATCAGAGAGCCTTTGAAGTAATAAATCCAACTAAATCAGATACTACAGCCGAATTGGACAAAGGCATCAAAGGACTCATGTTTACACGATTTTCAAAGGGAACCGAATCAAATGATGGTGGCAATTTCCTTATTCTTTCTCTTCTGCAGGAAAATCTCATGCATAGAGGAAAACAATAACATCTCGCACTCAAGTCAGTATCGAAAGTTTCCAACAGACAAAGGCAGATCGGACAAGTTGCAAACAGGTTTGATCCAAGGCACAACAAAACGATGATGTAAAATCAACCTTTAGCTCAGAAGCAAAAACGTAACCTCGAAAATGAAAATTTTGAATTGAGGCTGTTTTCAGGTAAGCATACCGGAATTCCTCCTTTTAAATTTCTGTTGGGGTCAGTCCCCTCGGGTCAGTCCCGAATTTAAATTTTATGTTGGGGTCAGTCCCCTCGAGTCAGTCCCGAATTTAAATTTCCTGTTGGGGTCAGTCCCGAATTTAAATTTCATGTTGGGGATATTCCCCTCGGGTCAGTCCCGTTTAAATTTCTGTTTGGGATCAGCCCCCTTTTAAATTGCCTGCTCGGGTTAGTCCCATGGTTTTAAATTTCTTGTCGGGGTCAGTCCCATTTTAAGTTTCTTGTTCGGGTCAGTCCTGTTTTAAGTTCTTTGTCTGGGTTAGTCCCATTTTACAATTTTGGTTAAAAGAGGTCAGTCATCATTTTCAAAAACGGCAGTCGTTCGAATAGTAGCTGCAGCCGAATAACACAGGTAAGTGTTTGGTGTCTATTTCTTTGTCTCAAGTTTTTTCAAAACTCAGACAAAGAGGGGCAAACTGTAGACACCAAATTCTAAGTTTTTTTTTATTTTTTTTTTATTTTTGTTTTAGTAATAATTTGTATCTATTTTTATTGGTTAATTTCATGATTTTAGTTTCAGACTTTTAGTATTTTTTTATTATCTATTATTTTATTTTATTTTAGTTTTATTTTTTATTCGTTTTCGCCCTTTTAGCTGTTTATTTTTATTTTATTTTTATTTCTTTTTATATTGTAACACTTTTTAGCATAAAATTTGTCAAAAGAGAAAATTGTTCATAAAAATATGTTTTATTTCCTTTTACTGTTTATTAATCGGAAAAAGAGAAAAAGAGAGGAAAAATCATTAATCAAACACAGAAAAAATCTTAGCATTTTGTTGCTAATTTTGTACATTTTTATTTTTTGTTTAAATCGTTATTTTGTATTATTGTTGTTTAATGAAGTGATTAAAAAAAAAAGGGAAAAATCCACGTTTTGGTTTCGGCTGAGTAGAAAGGATTTGCAGCTGCATTTCTCGGCTATTTAGGTTTTGGCTCCGTTCGATGGTCATAGTACAGACCACCTGGCTTAATCCAGAAATCTCAATGGTTGAGCATCAAGAACCATCAGATGGTTCCCCAAAATGCAGCCGACTTCATCCAAACCATCGTTGAGAGGGTTTAGTTTTCTAGGGCCATATAAAAGGAAAGAGAGACGGCAAGAAAAGGGGATCTGGGAGGTGGACGGCTAGAGAAAGAAACCATGGAAGCTGGGTGGCGGCTGAGAGTTTGAGAGAATAGAAAAAAAAAACTGGAGGTTACGGAGGGACTAGAGGAGAAAATAGAGAGGAACGACAGAGGGTTTTGGGTAGGGGTGAGCATTCGGTGCAATTGCGGTAAATCGGTGCACTGAATTCGGTTTTTTCGGTTATTGCATATATAGAAATCTAAACCGTTTTCAATTTCGAATTGGGCATTACCGAATTCATGCGGTACCCGATTTCAAATTCGAAAACGGTAATGAATTCGGTCTAACCGAATTCATCTATTATTTAAAAAAAAAAACCTGAAGCAAATTAAGAGAATATATAAAACCAATCTTTATAGTTCAGCAACTACCAACCCCCGCAAGCCATTAGATGTTTCTTCTTTTACACATTGCAGAAAATTCATATCCAGAATCCTAGGTACAACTTCTGGAGCCGTACTTTCACTAGATGTGCACCAGAGATTGAGAATTTCCACGGACAAGGAGGTAAAATTTTCATTTTAGCAAGTTTTTTCCTTTTTAATTTTTCTAACGGGTAAAAGGTGGAATTTTTCCCCAAGGCCTTAAGTTTTAAAGGCTGCACAACTGGAGAGAGCTTCTTGTGTATAAAATACAAAGCTTATGTTATATCACACCTAATCTAAACTACTACAACAGTTAGAGTTTGCAATTGGAAGCTCAGATTTCGTCCCCTTATCAATTCAGGATAACAAATTTCCTAGTCGATCTTGGCCCATTTTAATGCCAGAGACACAGAGCCAAAAACAGAGGAGCACTTACCTAAGTGAGCCAGAGATGAGCAGTGATGAACCAGCGATGAACTAGTGAGATCTTGGTGCTTCGTCTTCGACACTCGGCAGCAATGAACCAGCACGGCAGGACACAGCCGACAGGAGACGTAGAGCACGGCGGACTGGCGGAGGCCGGAGAGGCAGAGAGCAGCTTCGATTTGGGAATTGGGACTTGGGACTTGGGACTTGGGAGTGTTAGTGCTGTGAAAGCCCTAGGTGACGGCAGTCACGGCACTATCCAAATATGCAATATTGCAAATTTGCAATGGTTGTTTTCTCACTTTTCAATTTTCATCAGCTGAAGATGAAATCCGACTTTTCCCAAATGAAGTGATTTTGTAATTTTTAATTTACAAATTGGGGCTCCTAAATTATAATACATTCATTATGCTCCTCAATGATTTAAAAATTATTACTGATTTGATGCCCAAATTTATTCATAATCCTTAGACTGTACAATGATTAGTAATAATTTATAAATTTATAATTTACAATGATTAATAATAAGTAATATTAGTTACAAACTTACAAATTACAATGATTAGTGATAAGTTATGTTAGTTACAAACTTATAATTTATTCAAATCAAAATTAAACTTATTTATTTACATATGTTATTGTGAAAGTCAATACACTAATACATTGTGAATTTTGAATGATGTATCAAATTACCAATATCTAAATTCTAATTACTAATTATGTTTATTGTTTAATATTTAGTATTATACATATATGTATTAATTATTATCTAATTCTAGTCATGTTACTTATGTTTATTGTTTAATATTTAGTATTATACATATATGTATTAATTATTATATAATTCTAGTCATGTTACTTATGTATAAAATAATAAGTATTATAGTTATCTTATATTGTAATGTATTACTATGCATTATTGTAGTCATATAACAATTAATAAATACTAAAATAATATAAATATATTGTACATTATTATATATTATTAGTATTATAAGTACATGATATGATGATAATACCATATACTAATTATTATTAATAACATTTACCTATATAACATAATAAAGTATTAGTAGTATATACTAATACTAAATAGCATTTATCTATATATTATATAATTTTATATATCAATTCGGTATTCGAATGTGGTAATGTGGTACCCGATTTCAATTACCGAATTTTGAATTCGAAATCGGTTATTACCAAATTCATTATCTCATTACCTATTTTATACCATATTAGAATTCGGTGAATTCGGTATGCACCGAATTGGAACCGAATTACCAAATACCCGATTTCAAATTACCAAATTGAATTTGAAATCGGTTATGAATTCGGTACGAACCGAATCTGCTCACCCCTAGTTTTGGGGGGAGCTGAGAGTTTTGACGGCGGAGAAAAAACCAGAAAGCTAGTTGACGGCTGAGAGTAGCGTGAAGGCTAGAGAGAAAAGGAGGTTAGGGGCAGCCGAGAGCAAGAGGAGGAGAGAACCACCTTGCGAGATAGAAACTGAGAGTGACGAACCAGCGGAGAAGATAAAAAACTGGAAAGAGAGCAAAAGGACAGGGGTTGCCGGATCTCCATACTTTCACTTGCGGTTTCCTTCACCAAGGTTGCAGCAGGTTACGTTGGTCTATTGTGAAGCTCAATCATCTCTCAAGGAGTCAGCCACCGTTGCTGTCAACTGTAAGGTCCCTTTTCGTTTTTTTTTTACCTGTAGTGTTGTTAGCAAATTGATGCGAGATATAGTTATCGGCTTGCCTGTCTCCTGTCTCTGATATTCATGTCTTCCTAAGGTTTCTATCTTTGATGAAGGGGTCAGTCAGGTTGTAAATGTTTTAGTTATGTTGTATATATTTGGGTTTCATGATCTTCATTAGATTTTTATTCTTAACGTTTTTCTTGGTTGCTGTTTCTTTTACGTTTTGCAATGTGATGATGGGTTTTAGCCGTAGAAGGTATGGGTAGCCTGATCTATGTTGGGTTGGGAAACTGGATCGCATAATTTGTGGTTTGAATAATGAAACCCACAGAGGTTGCAACAGACCTTCGAATTTGAATGATGGAATCCTTGATTTCATTGCTGAAAACTCAAGTTTGGAGCTTGATTAAGTTTTGTTGCATTTTACAAAGAAGATTGCGATTCCGGGATTGAATTTTTACTTTGTTTGGATTGCTGAAATTCTGGCTGGGCTGAGATATTACAACAATGTGTGCAGAACCTGTTCTTTCCTTGTTTTCTGGTCGGGTCTTAAGTCTGTTTTGGCCGAGTGAAAGTGGCATGAACATATGTTGCGGCTGAGTTTCTTTTGCTGCATTTTCTTTGTTGTTCTCGACTGGGAGTAGGGGTAGGCAACCATGTTTGATCAGTGTGCGTTTGGCATTTCATTTGCGTGAGCTTGAAGCTGCAATATTTGTAGCAAAGCAAAAAGCTGTTGCATTTTTCTTGCTGTTTTCTTTTCCATGGCTGCTCAATGAATCTTTACACTTAAGTTGCATGCTTAATCTTATGTTGAAAGGAAGAAATGGAAAGTTTGGTGCTGAGTTTGCATATTTGGGTCTCAAACACTTGAACTATGATCAAACACTTTGCTGGGAAATGAATAAGTTAGAATTGCCGAACCTTTTGCATAAAACTATCCAGCGCTTGCGTGATTTCCCTTTTGTGTTTTGGTTTGTTCAGATGTTGAAATTGCGTGTCATGTTGCTTAGATTAAGTTTGGGATGTTTAGGTTGAAAAGTTTTGATAAAAAAATGTGTTGAGATTGATAGCTGCTTACGAAAATGAAAGTTGCGGTAATGTCTTGGTTGTAGAAAGCTTCACCAAGAATGCTTCTTGTTGCAAGCGATGCATGCATTCTTGCATGGAAAATGTTCAAAAAAATTTTCCTCTTAACCCCCCCAAGTCCTTTCTTGTTTCACTATGACCCAATCATGTTCTAATTTCTTGCAATTAGGTCCTAGAGTAATTGCGTTTTGAACCATTACTTGGCCTTATTATTACTCTTGGACCCTTGAAGTTCCTAAAATGTTTTAATTGGGTTTGAGTGCTTGATTAAAGTTTGCAATTGGGTCCCTGGTGGTTTTTTCTATTTTTTGAATTTTGATCAATAATTTACTTTCTTGGGAATTATGCATTATGTGATTTCATTTGAGTTGTAATTGGAAGGGATTGGGTGATTTTGTTTATACTTTACTATTTAATTGGTGCATTGACCCTTTTATTGTTTTGAAGCTAATATCTCATTTACTCGATTTCCATTGCAAGGGAGGTAATCTTTCTCCTTGATTTTATTTTTTCTATGTGCTCCTATGTGTTTTGTGTGAATATACATGTTTTAATTTGTTTTTCATTGTTATTAATGATTTAATTGCTTGTGTCGCTTGCTTTTATATCGCTTTCTTTAATTAAGCCAGTTATTCGTGGGCAACTGGAACCCCAATTTGTAATAGTTTAATATTTCTTTTAATCGTTTATTTATTTATTCCCCCTTCTAGATTGTAGTAGGGCCTCCCTAATGTAATAGATAGGGTTTTATTTGCTTTATTTGTTTTATGTGTGTTTTGCATGTCTATGTGCTATATGTTACCGCTTTCTTAGGTTTTGGCATCTAGATATGCATGATTATGTGTTATGTGAATTACGTGCTCACATGTCTACTTGCTTTAATTATGCATATTACTTATATATGTGTACGATGGATGGAAACGCACGTAACCATGGCTAGTCCAATGCTAGTCATGGTTGTCCCCTCGAGCTCTTGCAAGTCCAACGCTTGTAAGAGAGCGTAGATGTGAGCTAGTCCAACGCTAGCCCTTAGGAGCCCTTCGCGCGTTAGATCATGATTGTGTGATAAATCATTTCATCTCATGCATATCTTTACTTTTTAGGGCCTCTTTTACCATATTGCGTGGCATTTTCCTTATATATGTACACCCCTTTTCCTATATTTTCCCTTAATTGTATATTACTTCTTCCTTTTGCATGAAACATGACATTAGTATTGCATTTCATATAGGCATTAGAACTAGGTTAGTTCATTTGCTTGACTAGATTAGGGAAAACCCCTTAAATATGGGATATGGACGAGTTTAGCTTTCTAGTCTTAGCACGCTCGTATTCCCTCTATTAAAGGGAAAATTGAGTCACGAACATTAGTCCCCCGTACCCGACATGATGCATTCCTTTAAGACATGTATATTTCTATAATTATTTTATCCTTTTCCTCTTCTTAGAGTCTTATATTTTTACATAATTCGTGACCTCTCCAAAGAGTCATTATTGGGCGTCACAATTAATGTGACCGGCACCATTCGAGCTTTGAAGGGAAATTTCAACCCCTCGATACCCCCCTAGGTCTAGGGTTGCATTCATATAGTATATCCAAATGTGACAAATTTTTTGGTTAAAACAAGAAAATCTTTGACTAAATCACGCAACTAGCCTTGGCTAGGTCAAAGGGGTGCCTTGGATTTTTATCATTGCCTTCCCCTTCGACAAATGTGACTCCCGAACCTTTTTCGTTGGTTTACGTAAACTAGGAGTCATTTAAAAGGGGTTTCTTTTTACCTTTTCCTTTAAAAAATTCATTTTTAGGTGACTTGGTACACCTTAACTCTATACCAAGTGGCGACTCCGATTTTTATTTAAAAAAACCCTTTTTAAACTATATTTTTGGGTCAAATCGTCGCATTTTCATGTCCCATTTAGACCTGTATTTTTCTTCATTTTCCCTTGTAAATCAAAATTCATTTTCCAAAACAAAAATTCACCTTTTAAAACCATTTTTTTATTTTTACAAAAAATAGGGCGCGACAGAGGGGAGAGGACCTGTAGCCAATAGATGGGAAGGGAGCACAGAATGTGACGTACTAGGACTATTTTGCCGCCCATTGAAAGCAACCTCGAACTCCAATGATAAATCTGGTGTCGCATTTTAGCCAGGAGGCCATCAAACATAGCGCAAGCGACCCTGCCCCTAAACATAGGCACCCCCAGGTATGTGAAGGGTAATTTTTGTTCCCTGAATCCAAGAATTGAAGTAACCAAACTGT